GGCTGTATCCCGCCAATTGGCATGGAATGCAATGAAATAATAGAGGAATCATTCGCATCATAGCAACCGAAGAAAGTGATAGGATATTCTATAAAGAACCGAAGGACCGACACCTCTATATCAATACACTCTGAATACTGCAGCCTCAAATAACATATGCACTACATTGGCCTCGCCAATGAGGATGAATGCCGATTGTGCTTGGAATAACACAATGCAGATGCCTAACGCTGGGAAGAATCGAGTTCTGAAAACTGGTGGACGAAACTGTGTAAATAAGTTAGCCGTCATAGAATAATCGACATTTAACGAGGGCTGAGTCTGATGGAGAAGTGAATACTTAGGAATGTGCCGCACTAGACTATCGGGTCGCAGCGGAAAGCCAGAACATCGCCCATATTGTTAGTGTTTTAAATATCTAACAAAAATAATCGATCGCTTCCAACCCATGGGCAACTGGAAACACTAGAATTAGCTTGGGACATCGTTTAAACGTGATCAGTGTATAATTGGGTATTTTAGATTAGGTAGTAAAAAAAAAAAGAAAATTTACGTTTGTGGAGCCTGCTTCAGAATTTTTAATTAAACGTAGAATGATGTCTCTTCTTATTGCGGCTATTAACTCAATAATTCGCTCAGGTGCAAAACTTTATGAGCGGAGTCAAACACGAAGTAAATCTAGGAAAAATGAAGCATGATTTTAAGACCAACATGTTCATATAGACTTTACAAAATATTTTTGGCGAACATGTGCCTTTTTCATCTTTTCTCGACAAACTAGCTAAAAATAAAAAGTATCTCATTTTGCGTTGGAAATAAAAAGTATAAACCGAACTGCCAAATTGCCTCCCGAAACCACACCTAAGCTTCTTTACAAAAAAGCATTTTATATTACAAAAAAGAAACTTGTACCACACTGTTTGTCAAAATTATTGGATATGGTGATATGGTGCTTCTGGGCTGCCACTGGAATTAACCATTAAGAATTAATTATGGCCAAAAAGCCGTTTGCTTTCATAAATACCATCGGCGAGAAAATTATTAAGGCATGAATAAAAAACAAGATTTGGTTTTTATTTTTTTTAATTACATAAATAATAGTTCTGGAATACGCTATGACTACAAATCCGTTGAATTTCCGTCTGAATTTCAAATTCAATTTTTTATTCATACCTAGTGGTCTTAACGTTATGGTCCACGAAGAAAATGTCCAAATCAAGAAAACACATTTGGAACCGACCATTGGGTTAGCCGCAACATTCATGTATAATTCTTTCACTTAGAAATGGATCACTGTGTGCTTATATATTTTTGTAAAAATTAATAAAATTATACCCGTACTGCTCCGGTATTAACACTTCTCGAAATAGTTTCAATGTAGCGCAGCATGTATGTCCACCCGATATTGCCTTATTTTATAGTCCTATTTGACGTCGACAACATTCTCCTGTAAAGATGTTTCGATGGATCATTGTATACAGAGGCCCGAGAGTGAGAGACATTTAACACCTCGTAAAGGGAGATAACAAAACTGTAATTGATATTTATGTCACTGTCTGGTTTCGACGGATTCTGGGACGGTCCGAGAACGGTTCTGTTCAAATCGGAAAAGACATTTTTGAATGTGCATACTCTGAACAGTTTGATACCAGTTCCCACCAGACTAGAATAAAGTTTCCTATTCCGGTTTTAAGCTAATCTTACGATATGCCCTTTAAAAAATTTATTTAAAATAATTAATTTAAAAAATTAAGTATTTAGGGCCAGTTGGAAGTGACGCCCTCTGACGTTACACAAAAAGTAAGTCAATATTTTGAATTGTTTCTAATTTTATTTAGTAATGACGACCAGCTTTTCCTACAATAAAAACACATCTTCAGAATTCCTTCAATTTAGGCCAAACATGTTGATTGTTTTTGAAGTTACACTGATACTTTTTGTCTCTGTATAGTTCATTGCTTATTTACTTATTGACTTTAGTTCCAGTTTCTCGTTCTACCATTGTCCGTTTTTCATATTGAATTCAATAATAGCTGCCTATCTAATTAATATTAAAGAGTGCACGCACTATTTAAAAATAAATGTCGATAACGTTAATCGGCTAGGTTTAATGACGTGACAGTTATTTCTCACGGAAAATTATAATAGCAGTGTTTAAAGCGGCAATAAAAAAAGCAATTGAGGAATCATGTACAGTCTAGTGCTTTTTCTGCCCACCGGTTCACCGACCTGCAACAGACATTCACGGTTCAATAAAATCAAAGTTAAGCGAGGCTTTAATGTAGGACTTTTTCTTCCCAATGCCAATATGAGAGATTTGTCAATGACGCTTAAGAGTAATATGAATGTAATGTGATGAAATGTAATTAAAATGGGAGAACAAAATCCTAGACTTAACTATTTTTAAGTTAAAAAAAAAACTAACCAAAATTCAAACAAACCCTTTTATTCATATTTATTTATCCATATTTTAGATCGGGATAAAGATGCCGCTTTGACTGAGTTATCGGGCCCTTGATTATAACGTAATAAAATTCATATCATTGCATTTTTTTTGAGAAACGTATTTCTTTATTGTGAATATATTAGAAAACGCAATCTGGTGAAAAGGTTATTAAAATGAAATTTCCACATTTATTTCAGAAAATGTTAATAAAAGAGATTAAAACAGCGCAGACTCTAACTGTTTTTATTAACTGAGTATTAAAAATGAAAATGGATATGAAGCCACCGCACGAAAATAATGTCTATTTTAATCGTGGTCGATTTATTTATTTATTTTTTTTAAGTTCTAGGACCATCAGTTTCCCTAATATGGTACCTTGTTGGCTTTTTCGGAGCTTAACTGGAACATAAACTAAACAGAACAGTTTCAGTTAAGCTCTGAAGAAGCCAACAGGATGATACGTCAGCAAGTTCGATTTATCATCAATCGAACACAGGAGGAATCCAGAAGAGGTGTGAATATTACAGTAGACGTGTTTTTAAATTTTGGGAGTCACCAATCATCATGGTGGCTTCTTTAGAGCTTAATTGAAACCGAATTCAACACTTTCTGTTAAGCTCTGAAGAAGTCAATAGAATGATGATGTAAAACCGTCGGTGAAAAGAAGGAAAGACGACGCAAATCTAGCGAAGATGGTATAGTCTGGGAGGTGAATTTTATTTTTCTAGGTGGAAAAACGGCATTAATGGTAGCATCACAACACAACACGTCAGAACATTATTGATGTATATCTTGTACAGGGTGGTTCGTTTAAGAAGGGCCTATACCTTATCTCGAAACCTACGGGGTTAGAAAAAAAAATTATTTCTTTTAAAATGGCCTTTACTTTTTTATTCATTTCCCTAATAGTCATTTTTTGTATATACAGGGTGGTAAAACAAAGTTAATTTTTTTTTAATAGTTTAAATTTTATTGCATTTTTGGATAGTACTTTTAAAGACAAATTCAACAATATATGAGAGTATGGGTCTGTGATGCACCGTTTCGAACTTATCATATACTTGTATTGTTCAAAACGGCGGACATATTGAAAAAACAAATTTAATTAATTTTACTTGTAGACAGATCCCATACTCATATATATCGTTGAATTTGTCTTCCAAAAATGCAATAAAATGTAGGGTATTCCTACATTGTATATAAAAAATTAAAAAAAAAAGGTAATTTTAACAGACACAACTTTTGTATTTAATTTTTTTTTCTAACCCCTGTGGGTTTCGAGATAAGGTACGCGCCCCTCTTAAACGGGTCACCCTGTACAAGATATACATCAATAATGTCGTGTCTCGGAAGTTCTGTCCCTACTATTCAAAAATGCACCCGGGCCACAAAAATCTTTAGCCGTCGGTGTGTAAGAAAAAAATTTATTTATGACGCCGGCGCGTCCCTTGCTTGTCAAACGTAGCAATTTCTGATCTAAACTTTTCCGTTCTAATTATATACGACGATATGATAAGCAAAATAAACGCTCGCTTTCTATTAATATTAGTTTAATTTGACGGGCAAACCGGCGGATAACGGGGCGTTTGGCAAAACACATTTTTCGCCTTAATCCCGTTTATGGCGAGGAAGAAAAAAATTCAGGAAACAACACCTCGGGCTCTAACCAGATAGAAGCACGCGCTGCCTTTCAAATTATCATTAACGCCCGGTGGTAGGCCCGAGGGGTGGGCGGTATGGGACGGCACCCTCTAAATGGGCAGGGGGTTGTTTCCGGTGAACCGGTAATTGCGCCCCGTTATCTAATCCGTTGCGGCCCCGCAAACCGTCATTGTTTCTCCGCTGAATGGCAATCAAATCATTCCCCGCGGTGTTGCCATGATCGCGTCGGCAATTTTTCTTTGCTTTTTTTAAGTGCCGATGATTGCTCCAATACTGTTGCCTGTTCTCACTCGAAACGAACAATTTATCATTTTTCAAATTTACGACGGATCGAGTACGATATTATACTAACATTTTGAAGCGTAATTCATTTTTCGTTTGTCAAGTTCTTCTATGAATCTCATGTACGTCCAATATGAGAAAAACGATAAAATCAGTGAAGGGCTCGGTTACGATAATTTATACATAGTTTACACGAGGATTATTTATATTTATTATATTGTCAGATTATAACGAATTTATAGGCGCTAATTGTTATAAGCCGCAAAAGTTCCTAAATTCATAAAAGTATCTCAAGATAAGGGGGCCTAAATTAAAGTTGCGGCAGTTAAAAATTATTCCTTCAAATTCAGGTAATCTCCACATTTTAGGTAAAGTGTGCACCGAAAGATTTAAGGTACCTATATTTTTAAGTTTTACTGATTCGTTAAATAAGAGTCGTTAAAAATCAGCAAAAATAATTTAAATTGGCATCCATAGTTCAGTTTAAATCAGACATATCCAAAATTTTTTCATGTTTTTCTTGAAATTAGTTTACATGTTTACATTAGGACATGCCTGGTTTTCAATGAACACTCGTCATTTATAATACTATCACCGATGAGATTCTTACCTTCTTGGCATTTTCTTGATTGTTATTATCGGCATGTGGCGCTGATGGAGCCATGACTGTGACGTTGGATTGCGATAGCAGCTCGTCACTACCTCTCTGTAATAAAAAAACGTAAAAATCAACTAGCAAAACTAACAACAATTATATTGAGTTACTGCTTCCCAATATATCGAAAGGGTTTATTGAAGGAACGCATTACCTATGGATTGATTCGTCATACGGCAGCTACGGCGCGGAACGGCATATGGAATTGGTACTCAAAAAGTTTGAAAAACGCCATTTTAGTCACGAGTACTTAATAAATGAGTGGCTGAAGAAGTTCAACAACGTGTGGCATTTTCGGTGGCCAGTAGAATTCAGTAACTTTTACAAAATAGAAATAAAAAATAGCACGGCTAAAATCTACCGAAAACATCCTATCGCTCCCAAACATGTGACTAAAATACGGAAACGTCTGAAGTGACTCCGGACCGTGAGTAACGAGGGTGACGTCTTAAATACAATTATACACCGATCTAAGGTGCGCAAACTTTCATTTTAGGATGTCACTTTCGGTTTCTACGGCTGGGAGCGATTTCGGACATTTCTGGGATATTGGCATACGGGTTTCGAAGCAATCTGATGTTTTCGAAGATATTACCGACGGCTGGATGTATTCCTGTTGTTTTACAAAAATGTACCCAAAAACTAATGGTCGTAGAAAAAGTACAGAATGCAACATGTTTAGTAAGTCACTAGTTTATTAAGCACACACTTGTTGCATAATAAACTATTCTTAATGAAATGAAACCATCTAGGGTGACTAGTTAGTTTATGACTATCTGAACTTTTCATCATAGAACCTTACGAATATTTAATGTACTTAATAAATTATTGTTAATAAAATTAGATTCAAATGTTCAATTCAATTCAAAAGTAAAATAAAACTATAATTCTCAGAGGCTAGAGATAAATGCGTATCGATTTTCTGTGCACCACAATCGAAGTTAAGTTACATTTCATCCGCAGATCGAAATTCCTTATATGAAACGAAAACGCACTAATGCTTAAAACACCCACTTAACATTTATCTTCAAATTATAATTATATACTGACATTTGAATAAACGCGAATTGATTCCGAGTAAATAAAATCAATCCCAAAAGTGACCATCGTTTGTCTTGTTGGCCATCGGCTAGTGCTTATTTTAATTTAGTTTTAGTAAAATATTTATCAAACTGTGCAGTGCGGTTATTGGATACACATACGATTAAACTGATATCAACAATCTAAAATCCCAAAATTATTAAAATCATTCGATTATTGTTAATGCGTTCCTCACACACGTATATGATATTCACTGATTCATGTGGAACATGCAACTAATTAAGCAACATTTTAATAGTATATTATTCAACAAGTGTGGTAAACGGCATTTCAGTGCGTAATAAACGAGTGACTAAAAAAGTTTAGTAAATGTGTTGTATACTACGCTTTCTTTAAGACCGTTAGTTTTTGGGTACATTTTTGCAAAACAATACGAACACTTTTAATGACATGACCTTCAGAATTGCAAAAAAAACTTCAAAATTCAAGCCAAAAACATCCGATTGCTTCCAAACCCGCGTGGTAATATCCGGAAATGTCCTAAATGTTTCGGATTCGAAGACGAAGGGAGTTGAAAATAGTATATTCTACAAGTGCGGGAAACCGCATTATTTGGCACGAGCGGAGCACAGTGGAGCGAGTGCGTATTCAACGAGTGACAACACGCATAGATCTACTCACATGAACGTCAGGATTGACAAACGTCAAAATTCAAGCCGTGCGATAATATATCGCAAATGTTCGAAGTGGCTCGGATATATTGAAGTATTTTACAGAAGGGAGTAGAAAAAATATTTTTTCAACTTCCTACTCTACTCTGTTAGTTTGTTAGTTCTGATGGTAGCGTCACAAGTCACTTAGTGAACGTATTCGTGCTGTTTTGTAAAAATGCACCGGATCTAATGGTCTTAAAAGTATAGTATGCAACAGGTTGCCACTCTTTTATTAATTACTCAAATTCGTGACTAAAGTGCCATTGTATCAAACTTGCTGGATAAGATACTATTTTCCAATTCATACTATAAAATACCCAAATATACACTGTGACGATGGTAGGAAAATTATAGTATGCAACACGTTTACAAACTTCTGAAACTTCTGCAGACACTTGTTTATTTAATATTCGTGACTAATGTGTTAGTTATAAAACATGTTGCATAATAGACTGTAACCGGACTCTTTGAATATGTAAGACATATTCATTGAGTAATTTAACTGAGACAAGAAAGCTTAGATAATATGTGATGAACATTTGACTCTAATTCTCATATTGTTTTAAGAGTCTTATAGGGCTGCTTTTTTCTAAAAAGAAATTTTAATAATGTGAAATATTTATAAAAAAACTAAAATTGCCAGATGTACTTCCTTGTTAAATTTAACGAAGGTCAATGTTTTTAGTAGCAATGTAATATTGCTTTTTTTTTAATTATCAAGTTCTGTTATTGAATATAGTATTTAAAATTTTATGCAATGAATTAATAGTCAAGAAGGTGAAAAATCCTCTAATGGCATTACCGAAATTTTAGTTCAGAAATGCAGAAGATATCGACTTGATTGTTTACAAACTTGAAAATCAACCTTTTTCAAAACTTCGTAATACGCACTAAGCAAACGCATGTATCGCGACCCTGTGGCCGGCCCCGTCCGAAAACCTTTTACGAGGTCGTTTTCCATCCCCGTTTTCATCATCCCCATTGCAAATATAATTAAGTTTAATCGTTGGTGTTAACAACCCTCGTTTTTTAAAATTTCGCTTCCCTTCCGGCGGGGTCCCAAATGAGTTTTTTTTTCGGAGACTCCCGAAATTAACCCAAAATGAGTCGCCGATTCGCACCCCCTCCCCTCCCAAAATATGCTGATTAATACTTGCCGTTACAATTAAAATTGTGTATTTGGCTTAACAAATACTTCTAACCTATGCCAAGTGAAATTAGTTTTTAAAACTGCACGCAATATGAGATGAATCTCATTGTCCGTGTGATAAAAATTAAGGCAAGCCTGGAATATTAATTTAAAAAAAATAACAAAACATATGTTTTTTTTTCGTATTCACGGATTAAAAAATAAGGCGAAAAATTTCGTTGATCAGGTTCTCGCTGACATTTTAATCAATTCAATCGAAATACATTTAAATACAAATTTATAAATTGACATTGAGAAGTGAGATCTTGTCGAAAATTCTGTTAACAAAGCTCTGCATGCAACGCACAGATATCACGGAATATATTTTTTACATTTTACAAAGAAATAAAAAACTGTTAACTGCTACAAATACCATGAATTTTTCAATCAGAATTGTACTGAAGAATTTCATGAAATATTTGGTGTTTGGTAAACTAATTTTCTTTGAATATTTTTTATTATGAAATTTCAGTGGAATTAATCAAATAAAATTTTAAAAAGGTCCAATTTAATTATCAAAACAACTTATTTAACTTTTTTAATCAGTTTAACTTGTCTCTTTAACTTAGCGGAGGTGGTTGTATTGTGTAATACATATAGAGGGTGTTTAAATAAGGATGCCTCTTGATTCAGAATACGTATATTCTAAAATATTCGTCCAAATATTAGAAGAAATAATAAGGGGCGTTTTTTTTTCGATGTATAGAATTTTAAGCTGCAATAAAAAAAACGATGGATTATTCGATTGACATGAATTTTATTTATCCGAAAGATAATCTTGTGGCATTACATTTTAAATATGATTTCTGGCATATGACCGCCACGGCTGGCGCGGATGTAGTCCAATCTGGACGTCCAATTTTCGATGACTTTTTCCAACATTTGTGGCCATATATCGGCAATAGCACGGCGAATGTTGCCTTCCAAATGGTCAAGCGTTTGTGGCTTATCCGCATAGACCAATGACTTTACATAGCTCCACAGAAAGTAGTCTAGTGGTGTTAAATCGTAAGATCTTGGAGCCCAATTTACGGGTCCAAAACGTGAAATTAGGAGGTCACCAAACGTGTCTTTCGATAAATAAATCGATTGTGGCACGAGCTGTGTGACATGTTGCGCCGTCTTGTTGAAACCACATCTCCTGGACATCATGGTTATTCAATTCAGGAATGAAAGAGTTAGTAATCATAGCTCTATACCGATCACCATTGACTGTAACGTTCTGGCCATCATCGTTTTTGAAGAAGTACGGACCAATGATTCCACCCGCCCATAAAGCGCACCAAACAATCAGTTTTTCTGGATGTAATGGTGTTTCGACATACACTTGAGAATTAGCTTCGCTCCAAATGCGGCAGTTTTGTTTGTTGACGTAGCCATTCAACCAGAAGTGCGCTTCATCGCTAAACAAAATTCGCTTATGAAAATCGGGAACAACGGCAATCTCGTTTTGGGCCCATTCGACGAATCTACGCCTTACTTGATGATCGTTGGCCTTCAATTCTTGCACGAGTTGGATTTTCTAAGCACGTAAACCAAGATCCTTCCGCAAAATCTTCCATAAAGAGGATGAACACAGATCCAATTCCTGTGCTCGATGGCGGATGGACTCATTCGGGTCTTCCTCAATGCTACGCTCTACAGCAGCAATAGCTTCTTCTGTACGCACCGTATGGCGTCTCTGGGGATGCGAGTTATCAATAAGAGTAAACGTGGTGCGAAAACGTTCCATGGTTAATCGAATTAGCTGCTCTGATGGACGATTTTATCGACGATAAAATGGACGTAGTGCGCGATACGTATTCCGCACAGAACCATTATTTTCGAAATAAAATTGCACTATTTGCAAGCGTTGTTCAGGCGTGAGTCTATTCATGATGAATTGCCAAACCAAACTGAGAATAAATCACTTGACAGCTGTTAAATCGGTCGTCATCTTGAACAGTAGTGCCAATTTAAAGTTCTATACATCCAAAAAAAACACCCATTACTTCCTCCGCATTTAGTAAATCTGTAACTGAAAAAATTAAATAATAAAAAATAAAATGCGCATCGTAATTGCAGAAACCAATTAAGACCACATGGTGGGATCCATAAATAATTTGTAA